ATCGATAGCTATGCTTCCCGTGCCCTCGCTACGCCAGCGTACGCCAGCGGCAGTGCCGGGGAGAGGATGCATATCGATCTAGCGTTCCCAGCGTCGCTAGCGTACGCTAGCGTTACGCTGGTGACGCTGGTGAAGCTAGATCGATAGCTATGCTTCCCGTGCCCTCGCTACGCCAGCGTACGCCAGCGGCAGTGCCGGGGAGAGGATGCATATCGATCTAGCGTTCCCAGCGTCACCAGCGTAACGCTAGCGTACGCTGGTGACGCTGGGAACGCTAGATCGATATGCATCCTCTCCCCGGCACTGCCGCTGGCGTACGCTGGAAGCGCTACGCTACGCTGCCGCAAAGTATAAACGCAGCCTAACTTGATTCCAAAAGCTGAATTCTTTCGCTGTCCCTGTCATCTATGTGAATGAATGGGGCGGGAATACGTTCTTTACTTACTTTGATACCCTTCCATAACGTACGATTTCTAGCGACTTGCATCTATGGTAGCAGATCGCTTTCTCTGAACTTTTCGAAAACGAGTCGAAACATCATGACGGCGATCGTCCTGCAGGCCCTTTCATGTCTTTCCGGAGCCATCTGTGACGCGGAGATTCAATTTTCGGATCTAGAAACTAGCCTCCCCTCCACCTATTTGTAATGTGCACTGTAGCGGATCTTCTGACCGCGGTGGCTGCTTTGCGTCTGTACTGCAGACAGAAGCCGTGCATATGTAGGAGACTCAGATATGTACAGCAAGGTATTAAGTAACTGAGCGAACAATAAAGCAGAGAAACCCGTCCGGAATGCTTTATATGACTCCCTGCCGGCATCAGCTCTACGTGCGCACACCGAAGATTGTACGAACAGGGCACATCAACAGTTGGAGATTTTGGTCGAGTTCGTACGACCCACCCACCCCCTCCCCCCTCCTTCTTAGATATTTGGTGCGACCACTCTGGTTCCCTCCTCATCAAGCTCTCGAGCTGGAAGGTACCGCGAGGAAAATACGACCCCTCTCTACCATTTCTTAGATATTACCTAACTTCCTACCACTTTCCGGAAGTTCCCGAGAATTCTCCTACTTACATGTGAAACAGGAAGAACCAGGAAATCTCAGCAACCTCTTCTCAGAGGGTCAGAAGTGGAATACGATCCCCCTCCCAACAATGAGCAAATACGACCCCCTCCCCTTTATAAGGTCCCTGAAACAAGAAAAATCAACTATCAAAAAAATTTTTCCCAGCCTCAAATGCGACCCACTCACCCAGCGAACAAACACGACCCCCTGTTGGGAAACCCGACGATGCGCCCTGTGTGCGAATTCTCGCTTGTTGTTATCATAAATATCACTTGTCACTTCACTCCCACCATTCGGAATGGTGAGGGTTAGAAGCCTTTGGAGATTGGCATGGGTAAATAGGTCTAAATAAACACTTCAACAGAATTCCTGCGAATTTTCACATTTTTTTTCGAACTGTTGCCTCCACAATCGCCTACCGGATCAGCTAGCAAGAGCTGATAGCCTTAGTTTATTGTGGAATGTGCCTTTAAAGGCAGTTGGCAGGATAAATCCCTAAGACGAGTACGATTAATATTTTTTGCTGGTCGGAATTCCGCGCTCCGAGCAGACACTCCGCGACGCCCTTTAGTGTCTGCTCGGAGCTTTCAAA